TCCAGGCTTAAAGTTGCTAAGGTTGGAGACCCCTGTACTAGAGGGTCCGTAACACCCACCACCCCAGATCAGGGACTAGGCTATGGTTTTACAAATTAATAACCAGAGACGAGGGTATTAAGGTGAGCTCCAAGAGGTGGTGGACACGGTGTACCCGGGACCCCAGACCCCCTTGGTGATGGAACAGGAGTCTGCCAGGGTGCCCAGGAGGTCTTCTGAATGCCCCCAGCCCCCAGGCCCAGCCACCCAGCCCCTCCCCTGCCCCCGATACCTTGCACTTGGGTCTGGTATACAATGAAATAGTCTGAAGTGCCGCAGCTTTCAAATTCCTCCCCGTTGCATCTCTGGGCGCAAAGATGCTCTCCTTCTCGTTCGTGCAAGGAGAAAAGAGTGGTGGGGAAACCGCAGTGGCAGAAGGTGCCAGCCAGAGCTGCAAGAGGGTATTCCTGGGAGGGAGGGAGAATTCACGGCTAGGCGTGGGGCAAATGCTTCGGGAGCAGAGAGGGACGCAGGTCTGCTCCTGCCCGCCGATTGGGAAGGGCGGATGCAGACATCCTGGCGTTCTCATGCACAACACGGGAAGGGGGAAGGGCCACGCCCTTGTGCAGCCCCCTTCTGCTCACCTTTCCTGTGCAGAAGTCAACGCATCGGTTCACAGACATGTTCCTCATGGGCCTGCTCGCCAACAAAGCCAAGGTGAGGTTTTCTGGCCGGCGGAAACAGCCACGGAAGACGGCACTGCCATCTGGGGAGAGAAGCAGAAGGAGGTTTCTTGGCCAGAATTCGGAGAGAGAGAGAGAGAGAGATCCAAAAGCCATGGCAGACTCACTAAGGACGCTCTGGGCACCAGACCCTTCCTCCTTCCGCCCATCCAGTTGACCAAAAGGACGACGCTGGGCCAATGCCCTCAAAAACGGAGGCCACACTCACACCTCCTGGTGGACTCCTGGGCCAGCTCCAGGCGGTAGATGGACAGCCGGTTCGGTCCCCCGCAAAAGCTGCTCTTTTCTCCTTTGCACTCCATGTTGCACTCGGCGTCGCTCACATTCATGGCCAGGATCTTGTGTCCACAGTAGCATTCTGCCCCAAACTCCAGCCCCGCGTAGAGGTAGCCCCTGCCACAGACGAAGGCACCCTGAATGTGGGCATCCTCCAGATGCAGAGGCCGGACGTCCCTCCCCGGACAATAACCCTGCACAGCAGCTGAAGTCCTGAATGAGCGCCGTGGGCTGTGTCATCCTCGCACACTAACTGGGTTAGCTGAACCCCTTGAGGAATTCTGAGCAACTGGGCAGGAGAAAGGGACGAAACCAGGGGTGGATTTCTGGGAACGGGTCCCACCGCCTTTCAGCTTTAACGCTATTTCATCGTTTGCCGCCCCAACCATTCGCTTGACGAGGAATAAATTCGTCAACTAGAGAAAATAAAAGTGGTCTCTACTCTTCCTCTCAAGTGGGCCAGGGAGGGAAACGTGATTCGGTGTGTTACTCCTGATCACAAGATTTACTCCAGGCAGGTAGAAAAACACCTATTTCCCAAGAGGAACGGTTACCGTCACTCTATGGAGTGTAGACAGCGCTATTACTTCAAGTCTGCTAGATTGTGTGATAGTGTGTGTGGGGGAGTGGAGGGGAGTGAGGTGTGTCTTTTGCCACTGCTGTTGTCTTTTGAAGCAATAACTAAGGGGAAAATCTCCAGCAGGTAGCAGTCAGAGGAGGAAGTCCTGCCCCAGAGCAGAACTGAAAAGTATTTGTGGGTCCAGAAATTGGAGGAGAAGAAAATTCATGGATGCTCTCTAGGGAAGAAGACAACCTAGAATGTTCTTCTTGGTCTGTAAGGGCCAGTATTTCTTTTTTCCTCCTTCCCTCCCTCTTTGAATGGCTCCCAACAAAACACTCTCCCAGATAACCTCAATTCAGCATGATTTGGCTCCAACCATTTGGTGTCATGACCCTCGCTTCCCCACTCCCTAACCCTTCAACGCAAGGTAACCCAAGAGGCATCAAGACCTTCCTTCCAATTGATAAAATGGATAAATTATTGGAAGGGATCACCGTCTGCCTTCCCCGGGAGCTCTCCCTGGTCCTGAAATGCCTGGCAGTCATTGCCACAGGAGTCCAGCCTTCGGCCCTGCACAAGACCTGGACCAGCTGCCCTCATGGCAAATAGTCCCAGGGAGAACCTGAAATCGCCAATCCCCCCAAAGAAGGAAACGCACTCGATGCCTGGAGTTAATGAAGTCCTGGTGCCGTTTGCCACCCTACCGTTCGGCGCAGTTGTCCTGGCAACGGAACAATGTCATTTTTTTGTAGTCAAAGAAGGACACTCCGCGGAGGGCTCTCTGGTGAGTGTTGTCAACATAACAGCCGATGTATTTTGCTGGTTAAAGGAGAAGACGTGTTAGCATCCGCCCTTGGGAAGGAAGAATCCGCTTCAAGAGAGGGACAAGGCGCACTCCAGATCTTGACCCAGGGAGTCCTGGGAAAGACGGGGATAGCGGGATTATCCAGAGTGACAATTCTCAGCACTAACTTGGCCTGGGGAGAATCTCCATGGGTTTTTTCAGATTCTGCATTTTAAAAAATTCTTGTGAGACCTACGAGATCCCTTCCAGAGGCTGCTTTTCCTAGCAGGATTCTCTAACCACCGCACGGCCTCCCTCCTCCTCCCCCCAAAATTTGCACTGCTTGTCCAGAGAACCATCCATCAGAGTGACAAGCCAGCTTTGCTAGTGCCTGGATGTGAATTCAAAGCACGTTCCGCTGCATACCGATGGCTCTTTCGATTTACAAGACCAGGGTTGGTGCAAGGAGACCTGCTGGGAGTGCCTCCTTCTGGCATGGCAAGGGGAAGAAAGGGGTGGCACTGCCAGCCACCTTCGGCTTTCCGTTTGCCACTCACCCAGCTGGGGAGGTTGCCTCAACTCCCCAAAGGTTACAGCTCTGCCCTTTCCTTGGATCTGAAAGGAGACCAAGGCTGAAGTTAGCCCAGTGATCCATCTGAACGGGACTGAGGTGCTGAACTACCACTCCCATCATCCCCAGCCAGCAGGGTCCTGGCACAGCCAGCCAATGATTTGAGCTCATTTCCCTCCTCGGCTTTTCAATGTGCTAACGAGGCAAACTCTGATTCTAAGGCCCATAACAATCTGGCTTTATAGTAAACACCCATCGGCATTGACAAAATCCACCCTCAGTCAATTGCAAAAGGCTGCCTTACTGGGAGCAGCTGACATCCTACAACGATGCCTTCAACACCCTCAAACCTCCATATCTGCCTCTCCCAGGTCCTGGGGAAGGACTCAACAGGCGCGTAGAAATGCCAAACCCAGTCTGAACATCTGGCTGAGTGTGCAACAAAGCACCCTTGTGCAACAGGTGACACCTGAGAGGAAAGTTAAGGCCTGAAACGTCCTGTCCTTTGGCTTTAGCTTTCGGGAGAAACTGACTTTTGGGGGGACATAGCCACGCCCCAAATCCTGTCACTGAATTTGGGGTGCAGGAGGTTTAGAAGGGAGGAGAAAGAGGTTGACAATTGATAGCAAAGTCCTTCCAATTCAGTCTTGGAGAAAATCCCCCAAGTGCCCCCGCCACACACACACACACACACACACACTCCTGTTCATGGGGTTTTTCAAAGGGCTGGTCTGCTGGGGCCCCTGCCCTGGTCCAGAGGGGGCTTCTGGCTGGAGAAAAGGAGTGGTGGGGTGAGATGGGCGCAGGGGACCCGAATGGACCCCTCCCCGCTCTGCTCTTGCCCTCAGTGGAGCATCAGCCAAGGGAGGGAGGATGGATCGTGTCCAGGACAGCCCCCCCCCCAAGTTGGCTCCGATGATTTCCCTCCCTGACAGCCAGAGCAAAGAGCTGCCCTCCCAGAAGTTAAGAGTGGGGGGTACATTGCATATGGCTGCGCCTGCCAAGCCAGGCTGCCATCGTCGGTGGCAATCGGATCTCCCTCGCCATCTGCTAGAAATTCTCGGAATGTCAAATCAAATTAGACTAATGAGCCTGGCTGAACGGGTTTCCAGAACGGGCCCACCTCCTCCCTGCCATTCGCTGGGGGGGGGAGGGGGGGGAGAAACACCCTAGCCAAGGCCAAGAAGCCACCAGGAAGCCAAAATCCAGGTGCTCCTTTGGAAGAACTGCCAGAGCGAAAGGACTTTGGGTCAGGAATCTGCTATGCAGGGTCTGCGAAGGGAGCCTTTTCTGCTGTGGTCCCCCGGTTGGGATTCTCTCGCCAGCCGAGATCTTGCCGGAAGGGCGTTAAAATCAGGCTCTCCCAGTTGGCCTCGGGGTTCAGTTGGGTCCCTCTGTGTTGGGCATGGCCGGTGGACTAACGGAGATGATGCTACCCCGGTACCAACCTTCTCGTGGGCTGTTTATCTCTGCACTTAATGCTTCTTCTTATTTTTTTATATTCATGGTTTCAGTGGTAAGCTGCCCAGAATTGCCTGGAAGTGTGAGATGGACAGACCATCCACTGAATAAAAAAATAAAAGTCATAAATAAAAGGCGGCAGCTGAGGGAGGCTGCTTTCGGCAATCTTGACCCTGAAGCACCTTCCTGCCTCCGTGCCAGGAAGGAGGAATGATCCTTTGGCTCTGGATCTGTCCCTCGGCCCAGGCGAGGTAGTTTTAAACCAGAAGTCTCCAACCTTGGCAACTTTAAGACTTGTGGACTTCAGTCCACAAGTCTTAAAGTTGCCAAGGTTGGGGACCCGTTTTAAACGCTTAAAATGAGGCACTAACTCTTTAGAAATTCAATTACGGTGTGGATATGGAGAGAGGGAGGGAGGGAGGGAGGCCTTTCAATTTTAGGAGACGACTGTCCCCCAGGTGAGCAGCTTCTCAGAGGGAGGAAGTGAGGGAGAGGTTGAACTGCCCTGAGGCCACAGAGGATGCCCAACAGGCAGCCTGCAAAGGGGAGCTGGTGAAACTGGAAATCTCCCAGACTGGGCCAGCCGCTCCACTCTGACTCCACCTTTCCGAAGAGCTTCGTGAACCTCAGAATCTCTGGCTCTTTTTCTGGTCTTTCCTGCGGAAGAAATGTTTTGTCTCAGCCTCAATGTTTCCTTATTGACTATATTTCTTGGATTGGGGAGCGGATGCAGTGATTATTCCTCCCCTTCCTAACAGGGAGCTGTCTTGGCCAAGCCAAACCAAGTGCTTTGCTTTTATTTTCCTGGAAATAAAGTTACTACGTTCTTTGAAGTATATTAAAAAAAAAAAAAAACAGAGAGAGAGAGAAAGATTAATCATTTAGACGGATTACTTCTACCTGCTGGCTGCAATCTTAGGAGACTCTGGTGGGAATAGATGAGGAATTGAGACAATGAAAATGTCCAAATGTTGTTCCCATCTTTAAGATGGAGGTCGAGGGGAGCAGCTCGAAATCCGTCTGATTTCAGAAGGAGGTAAAATTCCGGATGAAATGATTAAGCCATCCTTTGGTGGACAGCAAGCAAATAATTCATTTATTTTGACAGCGGCAGCAGATTATCAAGAATAAGGGATGACTAGTTTAGTTCCTGCCCCCCCAACGCTGCCAGTAAAACCACCCGGTTGATATAGATAAGGGGGACATCAGGAACATAATAGAACTCGATTTCAAAAACCCGACATAGCAGCCAAACGAACCTTGTTGTAACGAGTTCTTGGGAGAATTCTTAGAAGATAAAAACCAGGTTTTAACTCCCGTTCCCTGCATGCTATTCCCCACTGATCCTGAACCAACGTCTTGCCCAAAGGACCGTTACCTCTGTCTTCCTCCTTCTCGTGAGCTCTCCTCCCCCTGAGCACTCCAGTCCAGGTCTCCCCATAATCACCTCTGCTCCTCCCGGCGGCGTCCTTTGGGGGGCTCTTGAACCAAGTGCCGTACCGCCGGGCCAAGGCCAGAGACTCCGGCATCGCTCCAGCTTCCCTGCTGAGCGGCAGCGTCCCCAACAACTGAGCATCGGTCCCTCCTGCGGCACCATTGCTGGGCCTGGGGCCGGCCCCCGGGACCCTCGTCTCCCCACTGAAGCCAGCATGGAGGAAGACCAGGCTGCCAGCCGTCAGGTAGAGCGCGATCAAGGTGAAGAAACGGATGGGTTTCCGCCGAAAGTACCTTTGGAATTTCAGCCAGAGCTTGGCCATGCCAGCGTCATTACGGATTTTCACAGGGTCCGGGTGGAGAAACGAGCAAACCCCACTTGGGAAACACCCTTCTGAAAGGAGGAACCGCTGTCTGCTGTCTAAGGGGCCACAGACCTGGGGCCACGAATCTGGGGCCACGACTGGGCCCTCAGTGCCCTCCCCTCAATAAATCAAGCCCAGCTATGACGCTCCTGTCCATGCTTTGATTCAAAAGGAGAAGGTTGCAGAGTTGCTTCAAACAAAGGACCTGGATCTTCGGACTAGGAGTTCTTGGTCTTCAGAGCAGCCAATGATGAAGGTATCATGGTCAACTTGGGGATCAGGAGTTGCCGCCGTGGCCTTGGAAGGGACGTTCACCAACGTTCACCAAAGAGAAGGTGCTTCCAAGGGGCTTTGAGTTATCCAATAATGTCCAGGAACGCAGCTGAACCAACTGCCATTCATTGTCACAGAAAATTGAACCTAGAAATCAATAGAAAAGATATTAAGACAGCGAAGACATTTCTCTTTGAGGTAGGCACTAAAGGAGCTCCCTCCATCATGACTTTAAACCCTGCTTGTCTCTGGAGATCGGGAAGGGGGCCGTTTCCCTACAGTTTCCATTCTCTTTCCCAGTTTTTAGGAGAGTTAACATAACCCAGGAGGGACTCCAGATCCTGGCTGGCATTTCACAAAAGTCGGTCTCAGAGTAAGGGCTGCAAAACCGGGTGGGAGGACCTTTATGACATCATTACATGGACACCTCTGATTGGCTACTGGGGCCAACTGCAAGCATGGCTGGCTGGGGGATTCTGGGAGTTGAAGTCCACACATCTTAAAGGGGCCAAGGTTGACAAATGCTGCTCCATAGCTCCTTCCCAGCCAAGGGAGGTTTCAGAAAGCAAGAACAATGTCAGTTGGTGCTCCATTCAAAATCCAAGAAAGAAATACTTAAGACTCCATTAATTAGAGAAAAGATATCTTTCACTGGAAATCAAGTGGAAGCAACAAAAGAATTCTGAATCTGAGAAAATGGGCGTGTAAATCACGTATACAAAGGGATGGCAACGTTCCCACCCCCAATCGTTCCATTGGCTCATCCAATTAAAAGTTGTGTACCGCATCATGTGGGCATCTCCAGGTGGTGATGAGGCCTCTGTCCGTTGACCCTGACATATTTTGATAAAGAGTTGCAGCTGCGCATAGCATAGGATAGAAACCTAAGCAAGAAACTCCGCCACCCCTCAACTTATACAGTTCTGTTTTGTAAAAACCTCCATAACTTCGCTTCCCATAACCACGTCCCCCCCCTCCTCCCCCCCGTGACTTACGACAGCCGGAAGATGCAAAGCAAAGGGAGACAATCTTGAAGGCTGACAAACCTGTTTGGACAACATTGCCCATCCTCCACTGCCCAATTACGTCGCCATCGCCCTGACCTCCACAATCTTTCCCTGGGACCACCCTGTGCCAAGGCAAAAGAGGCTGGGCTATTTCCACCCCCATGACCCATCCTCCTTGCCCTGGCTCCTCTTAAGGGCCTAAAGTCATCCTGGGCTCCCTCGAAGAGGCCCCTGTCCTCCGACAACCAGAGGGAGGCTGCAAGGAGCCCGTCCGAGAGGCAAGGCCTCCTCACGGGGACAAACTCGGGGCTATCGCTTGCTTTCTTCGGTTTCAGGGAGAGCCACAGCCGCGGCTGCATTGCAGGGTCTCCCTCTGCTCTCGGAGCTGCGTTCAGGTCTCCCCTGCAAGTGGAGGCGAAGGAAACCATGACCAAAAAAAACAACAACCCAGGAATAAGGAAGGAGCGAATAAATGAGGAAGAATGAACGCCATTAATTTAATGGACTCTAATGTTCCTACCATCTGTCTTGAGATGATTAAGTAAAAAATAACACTGGGGCAGACGGCGTGGAGTATAAATAAATGTTTTAATTCTGCTTCCTCGTCTAACTATCCAAACACGTCTTTGCCTCTGAAGCGTGAAGTTTATAGCAATCAACGGAGGGGGGAAACCTTCTGTGGTTCCAGGGAACGGGAGCGATTCGAAAGAAAGAGAAATGAGGCTTTTTAAACAAGCTTTCTTCCTTTTCTTTTCTTCCAAACGGCAGACTCCTTGGGGACCTCGGCTCGGCTCTGCTTTACAATCCCTCCTTCCCCGCTTGCTGCACCCTTCCAAACCATTGTCTTCTGCCGTCTGGAGCGGGGTGGGGTGGGTGTGAAATTCGGAAGCCTTGTTATCAATCTCGTGCCCGGTCCAGATCAAGATCTCTCTCTCAACCGTGCCATGCCTGTTCCTCACTCCACCGGGCAAGGAGTCAGGAGGGCTCTTCTCCCGGGGGTCCGGCCCCTCCCTACTTGGAGGAAACGAGGGAGGGGAGGGCTTTATTTCTGACCAGGCTGTTGAGTCTCCCAGAGTTGTGTGTGAGACAGGCAGGGGGGCCTCGGGAAAGGCCAGGGCTGCAGCAAAAGAAACGGCTCAGCTTACGTTGGGCGGAAGTGGGAGAAAGCCTCGCCGAGCAATCCGCCCCCCACCCCACTTCATTGCACCGGCCTAGTATAAAGCTCCTCTTCAGAATCGCTTGGGTGGGCTTTTTGTGTTGTCTCCTGGAGAGACGAGGGACCCTCCTTCCTTGGGGATCCCGCTGCTCAACAGAGGCCCTTGCCTCACTGCCTCCGTTGCAGTCATTGTGAGCCTCGACTGGGGTCTCCGTACGGCTTCCGGCTGCTCTTAACCTGGTTTGCTTTCTCTCCGCAGTGCCCACGAGGGAAAGCGTGGTTGAGAACCACGTCAGGCAAGCCAACCGCTTCCTCTGCCTGCAGGCCAGGCAGGACCCCTCACCCACCCACCCCACAGGCAGCAGAAGCACCATCACTGATCCGCCGCCTGCCGGCCATCGAAAGACCCTCTTTCTCCCTCCTTTCGGCTCAGTAGGGATTCACTTAACAGCGGGGGCAGGAAAGGTTGTAAAATGGGGCAAAGGTCACTCCACTGCCTCACTTAACGACAGAAATGTTGGGCTCAGTTGTGGTCGTAAGTCAAGGACACCCCCCCCCCCCGGATAAGCTTTCGTAACAGTGGCCGTAAGAACCTGGGGAGCTTCTCAGGAAGTGATTTACGTGAGGCCTGGAAGCCTTCCCGCCACCTGAGGGAGGGGCTGCAGGAGCTCGACCCAGGAGAGGCTGAAAGGAAACCGGTGCAAGGCAGACCCGAACACTGGGGGCATATCAAGGGCATTGTGGGCCGAAAAGTAAAACGCTTCTCTTGCCTTCTGCTGTTCTTGCTTTGGAAGTAAAAGATGCGCTGCCAACAGTTATGCCAGCCTCTCAACCTGGAGGTTGCCTCTACAGAGCAGAGAGGAAAAATTCAAACAATAACCCCGGATAATGTGCCCAGGCCTGGCCCTTTCCTGCATCGCTCTACCTCAGCGGGTTTTAATGGGTCAGTTTTGTAAAGTCGCAATAAGCGGACAAGGGAACCCAAGGGACACTAAATTATTCAGGTCCCTCAATTGCTCTCTTACCAGCGAACAGTGTCACAAGCTTGGCTTCCCTTCGGAGCGGCGGTAGCTTTTTTTTTTTTTCTCCTTCAAAGTGTGCCCAAATGCTACCCAACGTCTGTGGAAACCCCAGATTCCTTGGGATGAGAGAAAGAAAAGAAGAGAACCGCAATTGAGCAAAGACAATGTCTCCATTGTAGCTACAGTTCCCAGCCGAGGAGGAGGAGGAGGAGGAGGAGTTGGAAAATTACTGCAAGGATGGAGAACCACCTGCCAATCGCCCAAAACTGATGCCCACCCCCCCATCAGCTGAAGGGTGGCATTCATTCTCCTCCCCCCTTCCTCTGGCCCAGCCTGGCATTCCTGCATATTCAGCAGACTCTTCAAACGTGGGCAGGGACGGCCTTTCTCTCTGAAAGAAAGCGGAGCTTTCCAGAAGCGTCCCGAGAAGAATCCACAGAGCCTGAGAAAAGTTACGAGTTCAGGAAAGGCCGGGAAGATGAGGCGAGCCAAGAAAAGATAAAGACGGTCGAGACGAACTCAACCCAGAATGGAGCTATGGCACCGCCACGGTTGCTCCTGACAGCAAAGCTGGAAAACGCCCCAAGATTGTCGTTTCGCTATTCCCCTGGTTTACTAGGGGTTTCTCCCCTCTGCCCCATATCTTAAGTTTTCTTCATATGGGAAATTGCAACCGGTAGAAGCTCTTAAGAGAAGCCCAACCCCTGGTGGTCAATGAAGTTCTCCGCTGAACTGCTGCCTGGGGCTACAGATCAGGTCATTCCCAGGAGGGAGCCGGCCAAGGTCACAATCCTCAGGGGTCCAAGGGTTGGAGGACTGCCCTCCCAAAAACTATGAGACCTCTTGGCCCCCCAGATGAAATGGCCACAAGCCAAGAGGTGAGCCGTAGGACCAGGAGATGGTGCAGAAGGTTGACATCTACAAGGGTTGGCCTTCTCTGCCTTCTGCTTTGCCTACCCATCATCGCCCTGGCTGGTTCACCCCGCAAAGATAGGAATTCTCCCTCAAAACCCAACGTTTGAACACGTTAGGATGGAGACAGTTAGTGAAAAAGCAAAGCACTGGTGACCAAGTTTTGAAAACAAGCAAAGAGACGTTTGAGAATACAGAGAAAAACCTGGAGAAGAGTTGAGTTTCCTTCATTCAAGGAAGGAATCTACCCCGGGGGAGACGGGAAGTCAGTTCTGGGGTTTCTTTGGGGGACACCTGACCCAGGTGGTAACTGGAGACCCCAGACTGCCTAAGAAAGCCACTTTCTTCCCTTTGTAAAGTGATATATCAGCAGCACTGAACAGCCAACAAAAGGGATTTTGCTTCAAGGCCAAAGCCCGGCTAAGCGGCCAGCTCAGCTTTTGTTCACAGACCGAAGGAGGAACTTGCTCCAACTCCGGGGATATAGTCTACTTTAGGCAAGGGAGTCTGGAGGCGGCTCCACCAAGCCCTGAAGGTGGCAGCCTTGCCAGATACTCCCGGCATTGCAAAAGGCACCAGCAAGGAGAA